AATGGTCCCACAAAAAAAAAAAAACCATGTTTACAGTACCAATCATCAGTACGACTCCAGAGAAAAAAGAGAATGCACACAACCCACTGTACTGCAGAGGACCCCAAACCTGAAATCAAAGGAGCAAGAAAAGTTTAAAAACAGAACCAGCTGCCACAGCACATACAGTACTACAAAAGTACATCCTTCCATAGTCACGTATAGGAAATTAACAACATATATATGGGAGTATATATGTATATTTGCTATTAATTTTCCTCTCTAGACAAAACAATCCAAACGAACGCAAATCAAACAAAAAGAAATTAACAGGTAGCCCATGTTCTACAGAAAACGGCCAAATACAACCACTATCAAGGCAAAACGTTGTAAACTCAATAATATACGTATAAAAGTGTATCTGTTATATATATTTTTTCTCTCATTACACAAGACATGCTGTCATTGGTGGAAAGAAAAGCACACAACATCCCAAAAACACACACACAATGGAGTAGCATATATAGGATAAAAACAAACAAAAAAGAGTAAAATAAAGCAAAAAAAAATTACCAACAGGTGGAAGATTAGTTAGACTGTAGGGATGTATGCAAAAAAGAAAAAAGAAAACAAAGGATGACCAGAGTCACACCACCACTACCACTCAATCAGCACACAAGAATACAGGACAGTGTAACCACAATCAGTAGTGGTACACGTACCCACACAGAACTGCTGATACTGCTGCTGCTGTCTGCATCACCCTTCTTGTTGTTTGTGAGTTCAGGAGGAAGTGTTGTTGTCGTTGTTGTAATGGTTGAGGTTGTATCTGTGTCTGCACTTTCCACATTGCCTTCTTGGGTACTTGTTGACTCACTCTGTGTATCTGCAGATTCGTTAGCATTCGGTGTGGCTGAATTGGTCGAAGAAGTCTCAGGTGAATTCTGAGGCGCATTGGCAGAAATCTGTTCACCGTCAGTAGTACCTGATACTCTTGTGATTGGGGTCTCTTCATTTTGGGTAACGTGAGTGTTTGTGCCATCATGTGGTTGTCCACCCGATGGAGTTCTTTGTTGAGCAGCATGTTTATTTTCTGGTGATGGTTCTTCAGACACTGTTGGGGTCTCTTCAGTATTTCCATCTCTTCCCACTGATCCTTTACCTGACTGTGCAGGAGGGGATGCCTCAAGGTGTCTGGGATTACCCTGACCATTTATCCCTGAAGTATGAGATGGTGTGGAAATATCTACTTTCCCCGGTGTTTCCTGTTTCTCATGTATTTGTTTCTCGGGTTGATCCACTTGGGTTCTTTCTTTTAACTGTTCGGGAGTTTTTGACTCCTGCTGCTTAGAACCGAGACCACCATCTGGGCCTTCAGCAGCATGGGAAGAATGGCCACTTGAAGAACCCAACTCACTAGTACTATCACGGAGAGAACCATCCTTCTCATTTTTAGGTTCTTGCATCACTTCTTCTTCCTTCTCACAGTGACACTCATCATCATCCTTATCTTCACCATCACACATAATAAACGCAGGAACGGCACGACGAACAAGAGAAGGAACACCAACAGTAGAAGTTTTAATTAGAGCATCATAAACTTTAGGACTATCAGACCATACTAACCCACAAGCACAACACAGTGCAAGAGTTAATAAACAAAACATGTAACACCTCACCATTACAACCTTTTTCATTGTTGTTGTTTACTTCAATAGACTAATACAAGAAAGAGGAACACAAGGAAAGAATTAAGATAGAAACAAACAAACACACACCAGTACAACAAATACTCACAGTGGAAAAGAGAGAGAGAAAGAAGCAGCATAACACAGCAACAAAAAGGAATATCCAGCTTGTATGATAATAATAAGTATCCCTTAATAGAAAGAAAAAGAAAACACCACACAATACCCAAATAATAGAGAGCCAAACACACACACACAATACCCCATGGCTCTAGTTTATGTATTAAATTACTGCACACACACACATCTGTGTACTAGCAAGAGATGTATACCGTCAGTGAGCAGAACAGCCCAGTTTTCTGCAAACACACAACGGGAAAATCAAATAATGGAATTAATAAGAAAAAGAACACACACACATAAAAGTAAAAGAAAAGATATTCGAATTAAAAGAGAAAGCTGGTAAACAGATTATTAATTTATTCACCCATGGGGGATGTACGCAAATATGAGGTTAGGATAACCACTACTATTATTATTTCTCCTCAGATGAGTCCCACCGTTCAGTACACAGTAGCGGAGACCAACACAGCCATAATCAGCACACAAGAATACAGGCCATTGTAACCACAATCAGTAGTGGTACACGCACCCACACAGAACTGCTGATACTGCTGCTGCTGTCTGCATCACCCTTCTTGTTGTTTGTGAGTTCAGGAGGAAGTGTTGTTGTTGTTGTTGTTGTTGTTGTGGTGGTGGTAGTGGATTCACCCTCTGTAGATGCATTTGGAGTTTGTGCGGAGGTCTGCGTCCCTTTTGCTCCTTCAGCATTAGATGAAGTGGTTTCAGTATTGTCTTGCTGATTATTACCACCTCCTTGTTGTGCGTGTGCAGCAATCGACTTTTCTTCCTTGCTCTTTGAACCACGATTATGAGCCTCAGTAGGAGAACCAACATTCGTAGATGAAGGACCGGCGTCAGTACGATTAAGAGGTTTAGACTGAAGAGCTTCACCAACAGCACCCACAACAGGAACAACCCCATCAGGTTTAGCATCAGCAGCAGCAACAGCAGCAGCAGCAGAAGCAGCAGCGTCGGCAGGTGGTTTAACAGTTCCAGGACTACCAGGAATACAATAAGTACCATCCTCACCTTTAACACGATTCCAACCCTTTTCGGATTTCGAACAATTAGTATAAGTGGTATCGTGACCAGGACCAGGATGAGATCCATCGTAGACAACAGGAGACACATCACCACTCAACGAAGATGCATTGGGTAATCCAGAGTGAGGAGGTGGAAGGGCACCTTCTGGGGGTTGAGTAACACGACTTTGACGTTGATTAGCCATTACGCATCCACAAGCACACCACAACGTAAGAACCAGTAAACACAGCAAGTGGCGCATCATCTTCCTCATAGTGGTAATAGTGATAATAGTGGTAATCGCTTAAAAAAAAATGGACTAGAGCAAAAAAAAAAACCAGAGATCGAATAAATGTAATGCAAAACACAGTAACACGAATAAAGACAACAATTCAAAAACAAAAAAAAAACACACCAGTTACAGAAAACAATACAGCAAAGTATACTCGGTCAAGAAGGAAAAAAAAAGACATCCATATTCATACGGTTACCACACAAAACACACCGCTCAAGGAACCCAAATGCAAAAAAAAAAAATAAAATAACTAATAGATTACCAAATAAGAAGAATATAGAACAAATCATGCGTACTCATCCAAAAACAATTATGATTATTTTTGTATCCTTTATTACTATTTTTTTAATTCCATTGGTAAATGCAAACGATCACCAGAATACAAAAGAAAACTCACACAGTAGCCCAAACACACACACACACACACACAATGGAGTAGCAATAATTATTATAGGATAAACACAGAGAGAGTAAAAGCAAACATACAAAACACATTAACATTAACATAAAAGAAAGAAATTCCAACAGGTGGAAGATTAGTTAGACTGTAGTGTGGATGCATGCAAAAAAGAAAAAAAGAAAACAAAGGATGACCTGAGTCACACCACACCACACCACCACACAATCAACACACAAGAACATTGGCCAGTGTAACCACAATCAGTAGAGACGCACTCATCCACACAGAACTGACGCTGGCTGCATTCTTCCCTTCGGTCTTCGCTCCCGCAGCTCCACCATTTTCA